GAAGCTGACATTTATAAAGGACAGTATTCTAAAAACCCAGGCTCGGCACAAACGAAAAGAAATGAGCGACTAACACACACTAATTATTACATTTAGCCATCGATTTCGATGATATGTAGAGGCTAACACGTAGGGAAAGTAAGTAGTCAAAATTGAATCGCTCGTGTTATCAGTTATCGAGATAATACAAATGTTCGGCGTTAGGTGCCGTCCGGCGTTACGGGACCTTCCCCTACTACTCTCGAAGTATGGTAAATAACCCAGGCTTGGCGCAAATTGGGCTCGCTGTTATTGCAGCGGTAAGTCCCCTCTTTAAGGAGTGGCTTGAGAGACGCTACGGCGCGGCGTTGTGCCGTTATAGGTCGTTAGAACTTTTGGAGTAAAAGTTAATATGGCATAAAGTTGTAGGATCCAAGAAGTTATACTAGGGTGCTTACTCTTGACTCAATGTCAAACTCAATTCAATGTCAAAACTGTAAATACAACCCCTTTCGTAGCTGTTGAAATAGCATTCAGAGTACGGAATATCAAGCCAAACTCAATACCATTAAGTTCATTCAAGTTCCATGCAATACGGATGCAATGGGCGCTAGTGTTGCAACTCGAGAGTACGAAATTTCACAATACCAATGTCGATCAATCGAAATTGGATTCAAGAGTAAGCCCCCAGTTCGAACTTCGAACATTAATAATTAATTTTCATTAAGTACTTACATTGATTGTTTTCTGGAGGCGCTAAGAAAAGCAAAATGATGGTCGATATTGCTATAATAAAGTGGTTGACCAATTGTGTAAAATTATCAACTCCAAAGAAATGTCAGAAAAGGTCCGCTAGTGTTTGACATTTGACTCATTTATTGATTTTTTTATTCCAATATATTGATATTTTTGATCTACCCCTTCATGTTTTTGCTACCTCCTGTTATTGCAAGTCACTAGCAAAAATACGTCTTTAGTACTTCGTCCAGTAAATTGAATTTTTAAACATAATTGATGATGATAATTCTTTATACTTACTACATAACATCACGCCTTTTTTATCCCCGGTGTCGGCAGTGGTGGGCAGAGGTGCACATTGCGGCACTTAATGCCACTGTACAATGTTACACCCACTTTTCACTATTTATGTTGTTAGTCCCGTGTAATAGGCCGTAACCCTATTGCCATATACCGGGCACAATTCCAGACTTCGAGCTATTACTGAGATTTTTATTAAAACCCAGTAATACTTTGCCCGCCCCGGGTATCGAACCCGAAACCCCTTGCCTGGCAATCGCACTTGCGACTACTTGGCCATCGAGGCAGTAAATATTTTGGACTCTGCATTAGAAATTATTTATTCAAGTGGGACTTCCAACATAAGTTGTCTTTTGAGAAATACATATTCCAATAGGTGTAACATTATGTTAAATAACAAACAGTCTAAAATAAAACAAAAAAAGCATTATTAAGTTTTTATTTAGGTGTCCATTTTGATGTTAACAACTGAAAATTAACACATGCTATTGTAAACCCGTAGCAAAGCTAAAATCTTGTAATCATTATCTTCTATTGAGGGGAGTAATATCACTAGAAGACATAGGGCAGGGGGTTACATACACCACGGAAGAGAAATAGAACATTTTGTGCGAAAACAACACATTCTATAGGAACTTATAACTTAAAACATTATTTAAACAATTGGCGCCCAACTTGGGCTTTCAAAATAGGGATAATGACAACTGAATCAGGATTTCCAGACCATTATTAGATACACTTATGGTACATACATTTTCTAGTTACAAGTACATTTATGATGTTATCCCACTGTGTAGTTTAGTACTTTGAAATGTTTCAGAAAGTTCTATTCAAGTTAAAAATGCTACACTTTTCAATTAGTATAAGTTTTTAATACTGTTTTATTTCAGGTTAACAAACTTGTGTTATGGTGCAATTTGAATATTACAGCTATGCTAATCTTGGAATTTTTAATTTGTCAATTTTGTTATTATTTTCAAAGTACTCAAATACACAGTGCAGGAGCAAAAAGCTTTTTAAAAAATAACGACATTTTTTAGAACAAACTATTTAATATTTATGGAAGGATGCGAGAATGGACTCTGATAGGAACTAAATTAAAATTATTTGTTTATAATATCTTTCTACGCATTACATACAAAACACTGCTCACTATATTATCTAGTACATACAAATCCATACAATTTTGCGTGAGCTTTCAATTCTGTGGGTATTTTTTTCATTTCCATGTCAAATCTTCACAGTATCATGTCATTAGTTTTGAATAATTAAAATTATTTTACTTTGAGCTGAGTTTATGCACTTTTTGTTATATAATGCAGTAAATGTTCATGATTTTAAACCTGGTATAGTGTGTACACTGTTTTATTTTCCTATCAAGGGTGTAGACCACCTTTATATTAATGTAATGGCGTGTTACAATCATTTGCTATACCACACTCAGCTCAAACAATAGCTAAACATCAAAATGACAATCAGCTTAAAAATCAGGCCTTTAAAAACTTTCTTAGTACCCTTTCAAATTAAAAACAATAACTTAATGTAAAAATATGGAATAAATTAATTCAACAAACATAACAATTTATAATTGTAAAACTAATATACATACAAAAACCTATATTACACTTTTAAAATTACATTTACTTACATATTTGTAAATTAAACAAATGTTAAGCAAAATGAGCATGTTTGGTGTACATTGCAGTGGGTAAAAAATGGTGATTTTGTAACAGATTATTTGAGAAAAAAAGGTACTTTATTATTTATTATATTGACATAAATATTATATATATATTATCTATTGTCACTAAGGAACTATTATACATTCTCAAATATTCTATTTCATAACTATTATACACCAAATTACAGCAACATTTTATCATAAGCCAGGAACTTCAATTTGAATAATAATCTTGGTTTAAAAAATGTTTTAAATAATTTAAATAACCTCTAGAATGTTAGCCAATCTGTAGTTAACATACTTCTTACTGTCTCTAACATATTTTTAATGTAAAAATATTTACGACAGGCTATGAAGTCATACAATTGGAATATTTTCTTTTTACAAAACCTAGTAACATAGGCTCCTAATGAAATGTTATAACATTCAAATACATTGTTGTTCTACATTAAAAATCAACTTAATTTCATGGAGAATAAAGTGTAATATAGGTTGAACACAAAAATCTAAAAATCAGATCGTCCAAAGCATTTGTCCCTAACCCTTTTTATAATGTTATCATCTGGTGTTAATTTCCAGTCTAGAGGCTTTAGGTCAGTATCATCTACGTCCTGAGATTGAGACTCGAACAAGTCTCTGGAATGATGCCGGGGCCTCTCCGGCCTATATTGTCTTTTCAACTTGTCATCTTGTCTTATTTCATGTTTTTCTAAATTTTCTCTACGCGGCTTTGGCGTTTTCCATACAGGCTCCTCCCCAGTACGTTTTACTAACATGTTTGGTGGAGAAAAATAGGAAAAGAACGGACTAGAAGATCGTGGCTCTTTCTTCTCTTCGTTATCGAGAAATGAGAACGTGTAGTCCGCGTCATAAACCTGTTCGCGCACGTACGACGCGATCAAACGACGATTGACAGAATTTTCCATTTTACGCTGCGGCTCGACTAGTTTTGTTTGTGATTTCTTTATAAACATAACAAAATCGTAATACCTTTCTACGTTTTCGGCGCATTTGTAGCAAATTGTGTTCAGAACATCGGTCTCTTCAATCACTATTTTTAGACAGACTAGAATTTTGTCTACCATATTCGTTCTTCTGCCGTAATTACTATATAAAGACACGTTGAACTCCGTCTCCGTGAGACACAAGCGACAGGACTTACGTGATATTGCCATTTTATAGGGATTTTGTTTAAAATTTATCTAAATATTTGCTTTTATTTTGTTTAAGTTTATATTCCCGCCAAAATAGGATGACGTTTATGAGAAGTGATGTGATTGGCTCATAGATTCGGCTAAACTTTTTTTATTATAGTCTATTAAAAATGCGTTCAGAATATCGTGTTTCAAAAACTGTATCGACAACTAAAATTAATTTTCGCCAATAAACACTACATGGACGGCTTTTAATTATATGTTTTGTATACTTTGCCCTTGTTTATTGTAATTTATTAAAATCTTATTAATTGCATTTCTGTTTAGAAATGAAATTAACTGTAGTGTACTTGACAAAAATAATTTCTATTTAATTTCCGAACGAAATATAAATATGTTTTGAAATAGAAAGTAACTTGTTGGAAGTATAAATACCTAAATTAAAAATATTTTGTATAATAGAGCTAAGCTAGCGTTATAAGCTGTAGAAATCACACAATTACGTAAAATAATCTCAGTTAATAATGTACTAAAGATCAACATTAATTAATATTTACCTACATTTTAACAATTTCATTAGAATACGATAATAAGTAAAACAGGACAGCGAATCGGAAAGAAATGTTAATATGAGATTAAGTTTCAACAAGATTATTTAGGTCTTATACTAAAAGTATTTAATCGAAAATCTGTCATACGTCGTTATAAATACAATAAATTAATTAAATAAATATGAATAATAAACACATACAATAATTAATAACTAGTCATCGTCATTACTACTATCACAAGCCACCACACTCCTATTAAATAGACAGTGATTTTATGATAATAAATATCAAATAATATTAAATACATATTATTACAGTCGTCGTTATAAAGCGAAGCTTTTTTTCATATTTTATCTGTTTTTAAACATTGCGTTTAATTTTCCCTACTTTCATTGGGTTGTCAACTTTGCCAGCAGAAAATTGTGTCTTTATGATGTCAGAATTATTTAGCTAAGGTCGTTAATTAAAGCTTTTAAGTTTAATTTAACATTTCTTTGTATCATGACATTTTTATTACATATTACGGATTCGAGTGTTAGCAATAATACAAACAAATGTTTTAAAATTTCATTTAGACACAATTTCTTGTGGAAAGTGAATCTAACTTGGAAACAACTAAACGTTGTCTTCTTCTTTTTTGCCCCAGAACTTGTCAAACCTCGTGCGGGCCCTATCTAGTATCTCCGAGGCGGTCAGACCACCGGTGGCCGGAGCCTCATTCACCACGTTAGTATCCACCACTCCAGGAGCTATCTGGGTGGCCTCAGTCGATTTCTTGATCAGTTCCTTCTCTTGAATGGGTTCCTGAGTAGGGGTTTCAGGGGTAAGCTCATTGCTGTTGACGCCATTGACTCCGTTCACGCCATTGATCCCATTAACTTTGTTCATGTCTAAAGCCTTCGTCTCATCGATGGGAGTAAGGCTAATCGGCGTGGTCGGTGTCTTGTCGGTGCGCTTGCTCAGGCTGGTTGGCGATTCGCTCTTTTTCAGCGAACGTATTGGCGACATTTGCTGGTGATGAATCGGAGCGATTTCTGGAACAGTTACATTATTTTTTAGATTTTGGTCTTGTTATCTCAAGTTTTATTGGGAGTTACAAAAGGATTTTAGAGTAAGTATTAATGGTTTAGGTTAATGGATTATTTAGAAAGAAATATCTAGTTTTGTTAGTCTTTTAATTAAACATTTTGGAACTCCCATTAGTACACCGATTAAGCACATACAAGGTATCTTTCATTGCCCTTTTTATACCTAAAGTTATTCTAGAAATAAGTTACTACATTATAAATAAGTAATAAAAGCATATAAAGTAACACTTTTCAGAAAGGAGAATGAAAGATCGACAGGTTGAGATGTCTCCTAGCCTGTTATTGTAGGGTGCTCAACTTTTAATTTCGGCATCTATTTACTTTTACTCACCTACGGTTCCTTAAGGGACTGCATTTACCACCTAATTGCTTACGCATCAAGGTAATAAATCGACTGGCTGTATTCCAGTCTATATAATTGACCCATTTACTTCACTCATACATGCTCCCGTCTAATATTTGAGTACCCTAACAAGATATATCATGCTAATGCTTATCTAAACTTAGAAACGCTAATAAATAGCTCGACTAATACCTTTAGTTACGAAGAAGACATGCAAACTATTCATTTTATTAAAAACCTTCATGAATATGCAGTTGAGATAATGCTTAAGAACATAATTAAATACATATATCAAAGTAATTAAGACCTAATTTTCCTAAACTAGCTCATAAAACGTAGTAACTGACAATAGGCCAATATGGATCTAACAAGTCTACTCTCATGAGATGAAAGCATACACCGATAGTTTCCCAGATAGAGGACAGGCAACATGCAAAAGTGAACGATTATAATGACATGGAGAAACAATAAGAATTCGGGTGCCATACAGTGACAGTGTACGCAAACATCGAAACAGACACACACAGACAAGTGAATACATACGTGGTCGACGCCTCAGCGGAGTACGGTCAAAATAAATAAAAGCATCTCAATTATTGGAGTAACACAATTTAATCATGAACTATTTAATAGATATAATATAAAACAGATTATATATTTTTTCTGGTGTCGATCGTGTGTCGTGCTTATGTGATAGTGAACTCTATTTGTTAGTGCTTAGAGTTCACTGTCGCATCGTCTGTCACACTCATTAAAACGTGTATGGCCGATGGTCTAGGCGGTGGCTGTGTTCGTCGTACCTGCCGGCTTCACAGTTGCTTCTTCGGCTACGGAGCCACCCTTAAACTCAGAGCTAGGGCGCTTAATGCTCTCATCTGAAATGGTGAGCGAGTTGTATGGTCGGATGAAGTGGACTAACGTTACGTTCTATGTCGATCGAAAGTGACAGTTGCAACTTTTTTTTTATGCATAGCGAGAACACATATCGTGTTCAGCCTATAATGTCAGTCGTGACGTTTTAGTAAATAACAAAGTTACCAATGTCGATTTCAATAAACGTAGAACAGTATTTAAATAAAACACTTGTTGTGTACGAACAAAAGACGTGAAATGTTCAATGACAGGGATTTTAATGAGTGTGTTACCATTTGAAATATTTTGTTCCAATGCACATGATTTTACTGTGTCATTTGTGTTAGTGTTGCAAGCTCTACTTGTTCCGTACTAGGGTGGTCACACTTCAAAAATGGTTGGATGACTATGAGTCCTTTTCTCTACCAGTGTTGTGACATGACAGTGTGATGGCTTATATTTGGTTTTGAATTTATTTCCTAAACCTTAATTACCTACATATTTTAACAAGTCAATGATCATAATCCAATTCAGAACTGGTCATTCGAAGAGTATCTTATTCGAAACAATGTGATAGATTTGAAAAAGTGCGATATTTTACATGGCAACACCATCACCATCATTAGGTTCGTACTAAATTCCTACAAATAGAAAAAGATACTCTTTTTCTTTTGTACATCAAAAAGTGTGACTAATCTTACGAAGAAAATTTGATTTCAATTGTCTAACAACTAGTATTTATAACAATTATCTAGCTCAGTCACTCCGATTTTATCCTGGACATCATTTCATTCATTTAGAAGCATTACTAATATATTACACTGCGAAATTCAATCATTAATCATCAAAAGTTTCCAACCGTACAAAGATCGACAAAATTCAAAAGATAACCTCGAAAATCTTCTAAAAATTTTGAAGAAAACTCTAGATTTTGGCAAAATATTCTAGATTCTCGTAAAATCAGTTCCACCAAGTTATCCTAGTTATATCTAACTACATTTGCCGCCCAATCTGATGAGATTCCTACACTCACCGCTTTTCACATTTTGGGTGACGGTAAACGTCTTGCCGGTGTCCAGTGGGACAGTCCAGTTGACAGGATCAGGAGATCGCATGTTCATTTGCTCCGGAGACTTGACCCTGGTTGGTTCAGGGGGCGACTTCACGACAGGAGAGTCGTCGAAGAAATGATCCTTTGCTACGGAGGCGCTGCGGTGCGAGGGGATCTCGTCATCTGGAAATCGCAGTTGGTTATATATTTTTGTCTGGAATAGCCAGTATGTATCGTTATATGCCTTGGGATTTGTGACAGCGTTTTTGGTACATTCATAGCGGTTCTGGAAACTCTACTCGGTTGCATTAAGTAGATATTAAGATGGAAAAGTTTTAGTCATTAAAATGACTTTTGGCAACACTGAAAGCCATATATCCTAAATTGGTAGCATTATTTGTATCGTAGGCGGTTTTTAAACACTCCAAATCTTACAGAGTGACGAATTGGAACAAATCAGTATCTTTATCAGTGAGAAATAAATAAACAAATGCAAATATATCTTGCCCATTCTTAATAGTAAAGGTAGAAAACATTTAAAGCGACTAAAACATTGTTTTAACTTCTCCTAAAGCTATATAAGCGTATAGCGTCGTATATTTGTAAAATACTGTCTATTAGTAGTGATTTGAAGTCCAACTTACTGTTTCCAAGAACACTACAACGATACATAACTACCAAAATACATCTAAATAACGTGCTTAATCTGTTAATCACAAATATTTTTTTTACATACATATTTTAGGTACCTACATATTTACCTAACTTAAAATTATTGCTTTGTGTTGATGGAATAAATTGATTGGTACATTCTTTGGGAGCTGGTTTTAAATCATAATATTATAATTACTACTACTGCTACTTACCGATTTTTTATACTAATTGATTAAAAATATTAATATTATTGTACATTTTTAAATATTACATAATATTTATAGTCTGTGGCAATATCGGAGAATAATGACAGTTGGCGGGCAGCTCTTTTTTAATAGCTGAAGTCTTTGCGCCATTCAGTCTATGATGTTTGCTGCCAAGAATATTTTTTTATTTTATCTGAGTTAGCTGAATAAAGTATTCACTAATGTTGATGTTACAGATTTTTTAAAATGTATAATCAGCGTTTAAAATAAATAAAATACTTTCACACTTTAGAAATAAAATTAGATAAACCAGTCTTCTTCATTACAATCATAAATAGGTATAACACGAAACGAAGAATATAAAATTAAAATAAGAAACAGAAAAACTAAGTAATCTAACAAACATTCAGTTGCAAATCGCTGTATCTAAAAAAATGTACACATCGCATGCAAATTAAAACATTGTCAAAATAATAGATAATAGGTAAGTAAGACTATTTTTGAGTGAATTACATCTAAACACGTCACACTAGGGTACAATCACAGAAAACATTTAGGTTTTGCTCCTAACCTAATCCTTACCTAACCAAATCTTAAGTGCCTACGTAAAAGTGATAAAATTGTCTCTGAAAATTGTAGTGAGTGTCCACCATATTTACCATACTCCAAAATACAAGTAAGTTGAAAAAAATCTCGTTTTGCAAAAAAAAAATATACTATAAACGATTTCTTTAGTTATTATTCATAATGACAACAATATTTTTTTAGAATTCATTGATTAGCAATTATGAAACCAAATTAATTATTAAAAAAGTTCACTGCTAAATTCTAAGTTGTTGCTGTTGTTGAATCTAATTTAAATCTCGAATATCTACATGTGGGTGTGCAGGGTGATCACACGGACAAGACGGACATACAACCACACTCTGTGACGAAGCCATTCCCTTAGTCGGTGCCAATGCGCTCATCAGTGATCAGACGTTGCGTTGACGCACTAACCATTCAACATAAAACAAAGCTCACAGGACACATGGAAGCTTCAAATCCAATAACTTAGTTCAAAACATATTCTACATTTTATACAGCTCGATTAGGAAGGTAATGTTGCCATTTTGTCTAACTGACAGTTAGACAAAGGGTGTTGTGACGTGCGGAATAGAGCCATACAAAAAGGAATAGGTTATAAACCGTCAATTTTCAAAATTCCAACTCAGTGCTTTTACTCTCTCTTCACAAATCGAAATTGAATTTGGTCACGAGGTAATTTTCTGTACAAAATTGACTTAAATAATTAATTTAGATAATAAAGAGACAGTAAAAGCAAATAAAACATCAATCGTCAAAGCCACAGGCCAAACACATTGCCAATCGTAACAGACCAAGACAGAAGCATCAAGGACTATAAGCATCATTTTAGAACATAGAGCGTCGACGCAACTGTACTGTCACCTGTATAGTTACGCACCCAACTTTATGCCGACTTTTGACACACTTCGGCTGCGGCGCCCTCGGCCCGGAGCCCCATTTGTTCCCGTAGCCCCAGTTGTCCCCGTAGCCCCAGCCCCAGTTTTGCTCGGCGCTGACGGTGACCGCCCGCCCCTTGATGTCGACCTAACTCTATTACTACTCCCTCTACTCAACTGCAAACCTACAGAAGAAAGTTTTTTCTACTTTTTTTTGGCTACTGAGAAATGGCTCTTGTTAGCTTGAGTAAAAAAGTCATTGTGAAAGAATTTAAACTCGTTCTTCTTTCGGAATTGTTTGCCGTTTCTGTTTATCGTGGCAACAATATATGTAGTGTAGCGCATTAAATGCTTCAGAACTAAAAGTAAACTAGTTTGAATTAGAGCCATATTCTCACAAATTAGCCACACAGGACAGGGGACAGGCATCAGGCAGGAACACAACAGATTAGTACAGACATCGATTAGCTCATTAATATAATGTCTAGACACAGAATCTAGGATAGAATAGAACAGAAGGATTCCACTACTCTTTGACCTGGAGTGATGAGCATCACTCCAAGATTAGAACATTTACTAATTGCTATTACAGAAGTCGAGACTCTGAAATTGTTATGGTATTCAGAGCTCATCTATAAAAGATTTTAATGAAAGAAATTTATACTAACTCTATGTTTCCAAAATTAAGAGTCTTAACTACATCATTTTTCTTTCAAATGATGAAGATCATGAAATCAAACATTAAAACCAGTTTGATCATTTATACGAAACACGTTGGTTTCCAATAGTATTACACCTTCACAGATTTCTTCATAACTGTTCGTATGAGGAATCTATGAGACTTTAGAAGATCAAACATTGTTATGACAAAAGAAAACAAAAACAATGAAGAATAAGTTTGGAAAATAGACATCCATTTGTGATTGCCTATTTACCAAAGTATTTCTCAGATCTATGTTTAGCGTTTGACATCTATTACAAGAAGCGTTATACTTTTCGTACCAGTGGGTTTGATGGGCGCTGGGTGAGGTTCGTGCCCATTGGCGAGGAGCTTAACATGTGCTGCGGCAGGCGCCGGGTCAGCTGAACGAGGTCGCCGCCTGGGAGACCTGAAGGCTGCATTCTCTCCCTTGGCTCCTGGAAAGAGAGTAGGAAGGTTATAGAGGACGGATAATTTGTAGTGCTTGATATTACATCACACGTTCACATAGTCTTCTTGTTATGAGGAACGAGTTTACTGTCAAATGCTTATCATAATTCCAGACTCTGTGTTAATACTGAAAAAGGTGTAATTTGGGAATCTAACCCAACCCATTGTACGAACGCACTTGGTCAATGTTTTAGTACTTATTCATTAAAATAATAAATAAAAAGTGTTTTTGTACGTACCAAAACATTTTGACAAACAGTTTATGAATACTAATGTACTAGGACAAGCCTGCCATAAAAGGCGATAAGTAAATTAAAAAGTGGTAAGACTCACCATCCTGGGTAGCACCTTCATCGAAGCTATGTCCCTGCAGCTTCTTCCTCTGCTTCTGAGGCGAAGTCTTATGAGGCGAGCGTTCCAGCGCCTTCGTCTCTTGTAACTTCGCGTGGATAGACTGGTGAGGGGCGGACCTGAAGGACCTGAACTTCTTCGGCGAGTGGCCCTTGGATTCCTTTCCATCTTTCTCGTCGCGAGGCAGTGCCCTGGAAGGACGAGAGGATTTGAGAAGGGACTTACATTACAAGAATTCAAAATTGAGTTGTTTCCTCAAATTGTTCCAAAATTAACTTCGCAAGTGAATATTTATCACAAGGAGTTTTTTTGCTGTGCAATATACACTGTTTTGATTAAGACCAAAATAGTCTTTGGTGTTTTTGAGATCCATAAGAAGCTTCATTATTTTCGGATCGACTTACCGTGGCCAGGACCAAAGATCTCCCAGTCACCTTCCTAAAACTAAACTAAAAAGGCTGATGATACTACGCTACGATTAGCATGGGATACCATGGCTTCCGTCCGCCATTCAAGCCATTCTTTGATTGCATCAGCCTTATTGCCACTAAATATACTTATGATTAGATAAAAGCTTCTTGATTTATCCATCTCGAAAGACCATTTTGCTCGCAAGCTTTTGGTTATGCGTCCTTTACCAATTGTTTACGTTAAGCCATCATTCTTGTAAATATTATCATCTTAAATAATTTTATTCATTGTCCAAAATAGCTTATTCTTTTAGGGTTGGGATTATACAAATGTATCACCGGGAAATTTTATCATTTTATAAGATTCTGGGTGTTTTATACAATCCTGGTGTTGTGGTTCGGTTCGGAACTGGTCCTTTGAGGTGAACAAGCCAATCGCTTAGTGCATCACTTACTTGTGATTTGTGGAAGCTAGTGATAATGCCGACAGCGAGGATCGGCGGGACACTTGGTACCAGAGTTCGATCTGCTTATTGTAAAGCTGTGTGATGTGTTCTGGCGCCATTTCTGTCCCCCAGCCGCGGTACTGTCGAAATATTGCCAATATTGAATACCAAGCATGATCATGGTAAAGCATTTGATAAGAATGAGGTTGAAATTCATGATAACGAATACTGATCAACCTACCTAGTTTAATATTAAGTTTAGCAGATTTTTTAAGTAATGTTTTTTTCGGGATCATAGGACAGAGAAATTTTTAGAGATAGGTTTAAAGGGTTTTTTAGTTGTGGTTTTATTTTATAGTTCGTTTTTATCAACTATTTTCAGTTTACAGTTAAAGGTTCATGTGTTTAGTACGTACGTTTGTTTGCTTCAAACCTGAATTGTGGTTCCGGCTCGAAAGAAAACTTCTCTGTTCTGTGTCCATTAGGATTATCGTATCCAATCAATATATTTTCTCAGTTTATGTCGGGACCTATTCTCAGGTATAACATTAGTATGTATCAGGCGCAGACCTTGTACTCGCCGGCGCGCTTGCGCAGGTCCAGCACCTCTCGGTACCAGGAGTCACCCTGGGCCAGGCCGAGCGGTTGCAAGCCGGCCGCGCGCAGCGTGTTGGCGCTGTCCTCCCCGGCATCTCCGACCCCCGCTACCCCTCCCGCCCCGCTCCCCTGCCCCGCACTCGCCCCCGACACCCCCTGCCCCGCATCCCCCAGCATCCTCTCGCTCGCCTCCTCATTTGCCTTCCCTTTCCCCCTGCATTTCGTAAATGTCCCTTTAGACGCCTCGTACACGTATTGAGAGAACGGTCTAAATTTCTTTTTGTACTCGCTTTTGTAACGTTTCCTATTATCTTTGGAACGATCCTCCCCGTTGGATATGAGGGCCGATAGCGCGTTACGGAACGTCGATTTTCTGGAAAATTCCATTTAAGTCTTAGACGCCTGGTGTTGTTGTCTGTGATGATGATGTGGCAACAGAAACGACTCGCGCCGAGCCGGGTTAGTAGTACAGACATGCTTCAAATAATTGTCAAGCTCGCAATGGTGAGGTTAGGATGTCGAAACCTAGAAGAGTCTAGAAGGACCGACAGAGTGGGGGCTGCCGCCCTGTGCCCTCTCACAATCTAACTCCAGTGTTCAAGTGTGGTGATACATCGACATACAGGTTCTAATTAAACATTATTAATGAACGTTCACATCGACAAAAGTGCAGGACACATTGAGTAATTAAAAAATCTAGCTGTCATTCCGAACTAATGTTAGTTGTTGTTGAACTAAATCTACTCGGCCTAGACACCGCCACCGTGAGGACTTATGTTAAGCAAATATCAAAAACGAAATTTAGACTTTGTTCTGCTTTGAAAGGCTTTCAGTAAAGAATTGGGGGCAGAACACAGCCGTGGAGGAAACTATCTCGAACGATTCGGATAAGAATGGTGCAAATACAAAATTGAAATGAACTTCTTCAATATAGTGAAGTTTATTAATAGAGATGCGATTGTAACAAATGAAAAGGCTGTTATGCAGCTGAAGTCGTGTTATTTTTGTGCCGTTATTGTTAAACAAACATAATAAAATGTTGATATTAACATTGCTATAAGTTAGTTTTTAGCAGAAAGAGGTTCCTCCACGGTTAGATTAGTTACACAAAGCTAAACACATAGAAATTTGAAAGCTATAGCGATTTTAGAAAAAAATAATAAAAGTATATCAAAATCTGTCTTCACCTGAAAAAATTTTAGATTATTGCATTTACGTTTTAATTATATTAGTATGTACAGGGTTTAATGATTCATATAACAGATCATATAAAATAGTGTTGTGTACAAAATATCCGGAAACTCGCGGATTTTTATTTAATTCGTATCATTATGTGATCGTGTTTTTTCCAATTAAAAATAATGTTCATGGTGAAGGTGTTATTTCAAAATTCAATCATTTCAATGATTTTGTTAATGAATCAATTCGCTAAGAAGCAGCTTTGTTAGCGAAAGCAAAGCATTTCTGTGATAATGATCAAGTCATCAAAATTGATGATTATAGACTGTTTCTTTGCTTTACTTTCGAGTGTTAGTGTTAAAGCATGCTGAGAAGAAAAATATAGAAACAGAGTAATATGAAACAATCTATAAGAGGAGGAAGTTATGGGAAGCATTTGTTTTCTTATGGAAAAGGTGATAAGCAGAAGCTGTTTTGATAAAAAAATGTTTGGACAAAAATTTGACAAATTTTGTTGAAACATTTTTCTTTGTAGATGTTATACTAATGTATTCATCTACTTGAAGTGAAGTTGGTTTTATAGAACTTATTTTGGTATTTAAGCGATAGAATGCTTCTCGAACTTGATCAAAATCTTTTTATTATAAAACCAATCACTTCTACAGATGAATCTATACAAGTTGTTGGATCTAGGAGGTCACTCACCTCTGTACTCCAGGTTTCTGTCCATTCCAGAGGTAATCTTCGATGTACCGCTTGTGGTCATCATGATCACCGTCCACGTGGTTCATGAGCGGTTCAGCTTCTACTAGACCTGGAAGGTTTGGATGAACTTGTGAAAACTGAGTTCGAATTTTGATAAAAAATTAATTTATATGTAAGTAGATTGCCTAAAAATATTTTTTTGATTCGACGTGGATATAATGAAGGACATAGTTCTTTTAACCGACTTAGAAAAAGGAGGTTCGCAGTATGACAGTTTTGTTTTTAGCGTGTTTTCTTTCTTACTTTTCTTTTAATATTCATTTCATTTCACTTGAATACATTTTCAAAGCAAAACATTTGCAATTAAACTTATAATGACGGCGTTTCATTGAGCAGTCAGCTGTTAATTTTATTTGTTGTTCGTTCTTTTATTCTCGTCTATTCTTAGAGGCCATTGTGGTAGAAATGTTCGTTTATTTTCTACTTCTTTTTATTTGTGGTTTTCTTCGTTTCGTTATAGATTTTGTTTGTGTCGTAAACAGGTTATTGTATTATAATATACTAAATGCTATTATTGTCTATTTCTATATTTTTACGGGCTAAACGGTTAGAAGTGCGTCGCCGGCCTTTTGGGCGTTAGTAACACAAATGCTTGTACTAGAATAATCAAAATCGGTTTAGCTATAAGCATGAAAATTTTTTCTTCTTTATCATCATTTACATCGTCTAAAAACATATAATTTTGCTTACGCTTTGTCTCCTGTTTACAAGGAGACAAAAAGTTTTTCTCCTTGTAAATAGGAGCCAAAGCGGACTTTGTCTAACCGAAATTGTTTATTAACACTTAAAGTGTCCATACTAAAGTAACAATATTCACTTCAAATGTAAAACATACGTGTGTGGGAGAGGCATGCTTCGGCACGAATGGGCCGGCTCGACCGGAGCGATACCACGGCCTCACAGAAAACCGACGTGAAACACCGCTTGTGTTTCATCATGTGAGTGAGTTTACCGGAGACCCAGTTACTCCTTCCCAATCTCCGAATCCCCAATAATCCTCAAATCCCGAAAAGGCCGGTAACGCACTTGTAACATCGCGTGTTCAAGGTGTCTATGGGCGGTGGCGATTGCTGATGCCGTGTGCCGACCACACTGAAAATATAGTCTAAAGCCCCATACATACAATGAGTACAAAAAAACAAACTGCCTTTCATAAAACCTTGTCAAATCTGACCTACAAACGTTAGTAACTGCAAAATCTTGTCCAAATGACCTCGTTGAAACAATATCTCTCAAAATCTGCGCAACAGTCACATTAACCGAGGTCTTTGACACTGATCTCCATTACCAACTGGAACTTAAAAGCGTAAAAGAAAAAAATTGAAGATATTTTTTGTCAAACGAATTTTACGGCGTGTTACAATTTGATTGTATTATTTGTGTTTCATAGTTTTTTGTTATGTTCAAATTGTTTTCTTTTTATGTTAAAGTCATGTTTTTCTTTGTTACCAGGTTTCTTGATGATACTGTTTTCCGGGTTGGATTTATTTGTTTTCTTAGGTATCTGCTAAGCTTAGTGCTATGAGACAATGATGAACCTATTGAAAAGTCAGTATTTAAAAAAATCGTGACTGAAGTACATTTACTAACAATTTAGATTAGATTCGTGGTTGTCATTTCAATGAAGTGACATTTTTATACAAGAGTTCCAAGAGTGTGCAACTTATAACTCATTATAACATTTAAAAAAAACGTTGCCCTACTCTAGGAATTTCTCCTGTGTCGTGGGTGCGTTTACAAACATACAACAATGACACCCAGATCCGAAACAACAATTTATGGATCATACAAAGAGTGTGGGAATCGAACCCACTACACTTTGCGCGGCAGCCGTGCAGTCTAACCGTCAGTTTATCCATTACTTAGCTTCATTTCGATTCAGCTACTTAGACAAGTATTACAGAAGAAAAACAATGGAAACTACAAATATTTCACGACTATGCCATTTTACGACAGTTTTATATAACCCAAAATAGCTATACAATTTATAATAGCCATTAAAATTTATGTAATGTTAAGAACAATTCTGGCCGACAGACTGCCAATTTGAATAATATTCAGATATTTCATGGGAACGAGCTTTGGCTGATAAATAATGCATTTCCTTCAGCTCTTGTACTGAGTTGGGGAAGTAATCTGAATAACTTAGTTCTCATAGGGCTGGCGTATTGAAGAAGCTATGTTCTGTTTCAGTACATATATGTATTTCTAGAATACTGAGGTTCTAAGATATAGTGAGTACCAATGCGACTTCCAGACCATTACGTTTAAGGCTTAAGGTCCAATAAGGCAGATGCCGATATGGGTTACCGAGTCCCAAAGAAGGCGACAGAATGTAGTATAAAAAATATGCATTTAAAATAACTCCTCAGTTTTTCTTTGCAATGCTTTTTTGAGTTAAAAATAATTTTCTTTATCTATACTTCTATACTAATATTATAAAGAAGAAAGATTTGTACCTATTTTTGTATGTTTGTAATGAATAGGCTCAAAAAGTACTTGGCCGATTTATAAAATTCTTTCACCAATAGAATGCTACATTCGTCCAATTTGACACAGGCTACATTTCATTTTGAAAAAAATTAGGGATCCTTGGTAAAATTTGAACAATGTAACCGAAGGTATAGAAAAATGAGTCTTAAAATGTCTTTCGTCGAATGCGCTGCCGAATACCGAATGCCGAATAGAAACTATTAGCGATAGAATAAAATAATCTACAGCAATATTGAAGAACATCATAACGTCTACAAAAAACTCCGCGGTAGCATATGTCCAACTATTGTAGTTATGTCACTACAACAATCCAAATTTCCAAAAATTAATAATTGTCTACCCCGTGCGAAGCTGGGACGGGGTGCTAATACGTTATAATATTTACTTTACTATTATTTAAAATTAATTATGTTCGAAATATTTAGCAAATGAAATAGAGGCAACCCTGTTCGCAGGTGTGTGTGCATAAGTTTGTTCGTATGTCACGTACCTCTATATACTTGACGTATTAACTTAGAAGTTCGTTCGTTTCATAACTTAACGTCTGATTAAGTGAATGATAGAAGACTATTAATATACCTAATTACGTAGTAAGATTTAAACGTTTATTTCTGGTTTAAATGAGATCTGTAGTTTACTTAGAAAATATCATAATTATCGTGACACATACTAAATTAATTACTATGTTTTTCGGCTTACTCACGTAATTATTTGACGAGGAACTCGACTAGCAGCAATGTGTGCAAAGAAGCAGTGCGACAGTTGCTGCGTCGTGGGTCGCGCAATGCTGCTCATGAACATGAGCATGAGCCTTTAGCGCGGCTCGAAACCAAAGACTACTATAGTATTTTGAAACTAGTCGAGTTCCTCATCAAATAATTACGTGAGTAAGACAAAAAATATAATAATATACTTAGATAATTTTAATCTTTTGATATATATTTTATCAAGACTAGACTTTATTAGATTTATCTGGACAAAATGTCCAACAGCTAACTAACTATAACATAAGTATTAACTATAATATGCGTCTTTTGTTATCCTCTTCATTTAATATTTTCTTTTGTGTAAAAAAAGGATTCTCATTTTTTCTGTTCCCGTAAAATATACTTGTATTTTAATTGTACATCCAATATAGGTATAGTCGAACACCTGGGTATCTATTATATTCCGAAAATAATAAAATGATGAGAATAGTTTGCTCTGTTTAAAATTCGGACCAAATCTTCCACCTTGATGATAACACTCGAAAAAGACACAGTTTAAACAGATAGAGTCTAAACCAAAGAATGGACCTACCTTCAGCTACGGCAGCCTTCTTCAGCGCTCCCATGGAGATGCTCTTCCTGGGAGCATCAGTGGTGTCCTTGGGCCACGCGAACTGGTTACGGTACTCCGTGCTAACTATCTCCGGTTCCTTGGCTGCCATCACCTCTCCCAACGCCGTCGTAGCCTGGAGAAAGACCATCGTAAAAGTTGATGAATTACAAAATTGCTAAAGATCATGGCAGCCTATGGTAGTCCACTGTTGGATTTTTTTTTATGCCATAAGCCGGTAAACGAGCAGGCGGATCACCTGATGGTAAGTGCGTTACCGGCCTTTTGGGGATTAGGAGTTTGAGGATCGTTGGGGATTCAGGAATTGGGGAAATTGGGGAAGGGGAGGATAATTGGGGCACCGGTAACCTCACTCACACGACGAAACACAACGCAAGCGTTCTTCACGTCGGTTTTCTGTGAGGCCGTGGTATCACTCCGGTCGAGCCGGCCCATTCGTGCCGAAGCATGACTCTCCTACACTTATCATAAAAAGATAAAAGGCCTCTTCTTCATAAAAGGGCTGTTTTCCTATAACTTCCGAAGTTTATTTTGAAGAGGGACAATCATCAAATTACACCCCTAAAGCCGCAGGAGCTAGTCGTACATAATTCTAGACTGACAGACAGTTTTCTCAACTGCAATCTTTTGAATCCATCAGCTCCATCAATCACCATTCTTGTAATCACCAATCAACACTTAATAACCATAACACATATAACGAAGTGTAACGTTACAATTTCTTAACGGAAGTTCCTTATTCCGGCCACTAAGTTTACAAAGCGTGCCGAGATACAGCATCTAGTTTGTTATTAATCAATTACTGATTATTCTCGCATCTCTCCGCTATTTTAATTGACGTTTTATAAGAACTGATTGTTCGTAATCGTCGTCACACATCAAGCTATGTAAAGATATCCAGTATAAATTGATCGTTGAATGAAGAAAAGATGATAGAAAGTGAGATCATGATAAACTGGTTTTGCATAGTACGATGTGTAGCGTGTCCATGATTTGTAAAATGGTTTTTTAATTAGTATTGTTCATGGTCGTTGTTTTCTATGACAGATTGTTCCTAATTAGACTTTGATGTCTTCATTTTTCAGAGAGTTTGACGTCTGAAATATAGTTTTTTTATGGTATAAGCCGTAAACAAGCCGACGGAGCACCCGATGGTAAGCAATCGGCGTCGCCCGTGTACACCTGGAACACCAGAGGCGTTACAAGTGCGTTACCGGCCTTTTGGGGATTAGGAGTTTGAGGATTGTTGGGGATTCAGGAATTGGGGAGATTGGGAAGGAGAGTTTGCTGATATTTTACTTTTTCCGCGGTTTTCATAAGGGCCGACTAAGGGGCATCTAACAGATATTCTGCAAAATCACAGTACATGACCGTCTATCATCTCTTTAGCCACGAATGTGTTTACACAAGACTTCTACTGATGAACAAGCTCCTCTAATAAGTTTCGGATAAGCCGGTTGGAAGTGATAAGCCGGTATACGAGCAGACGGATCACTTGATGGTAAGCAATCAGTGCCGCCCATGCATACCCGAAACACCAGAGGCTACAAGAGCCTTACCGGCGTTTTGGGGATTAGGAATTTGAGGATTGCTGGGGACTTACGGATAGATTGGGGAAGGGAAGGGGAATAATTGGGCTTCCAGTAACCTCACTCACATGACGAAACACAACGCAAGCATTGTATCAGGTCGGTCTTCTGTGAGGCCGTGGTGTCACCCCGTATCTCATTCCAGACTTCTAAACCAAAATATCTGTTACACCGTGCCAAAATACTGAGCTGGGCGTGTACCAAGTACTTAATATAGTTTGACGGTGCCAAGCATTAGCAGTACTCGTAATTAATGGGTAGATTAAATGGCCGTATTAATTGCATAGTCTACTTATCTATTAATTGGTTTTCTCTAAGTAATAGGGTACATATTGATCTTTCTTATATTGGGATTAGAATAGATATTGTCGTAGTGTAATAATTATTATTAACATTAATTTCTCTTCGATTCCCTGGAATCTACCCAATTACAGACTTCGTGTTCCAGTCCTACTGAGGAATTGAAAAACCAGATCAGTCTTATTCTAAACACTAAAAATCACATCACAATCACCTGATGGTTATAATAACCTCGACCACTTACTGTGACCGTTAGTGATAACACTGACTCTCGTATCAAGTTGTCACTGTGATGATAACAGCTGGAGATTAGATAAGGAACATAAGTAATGGGTTGTTGAGAGAAAGTGATGAAGAATGTGATTATAATAGGAATGACGACTGGGTATGAAAATTAAAAATCGAATTAATCCGTCAGTTAGGTAATGAAAAAATATTAGACACGTATTTTTTTAATTTGTCGTTTAAGAAAACAATACTTAGATAAAACGAATCAAACTTTAGGAGTGGGAGGTAGCTACGTCATTTTAGAGTAGGTATAAATCGTACTCAAAAGTGACGTCATGCGATATTTCAAATCAACATGTCTTCGAAACTATTCGTTTCCGTAAGAAAATAAAAAAATACGCGTCTAATGTTTTTAAATAATCTACCAGACGGGCATTGAAATAAAAAATAGTCATAATATACCCTATTGTAATACCACTAGAGGCGAATTAAAAACAAAGAGCGCCCTAGGTGAGCATGTCATGTCGCGGAGAACCTAACGGGCTCTGGCTCGAAACAGGAGAAGGAACGGCGTGGTATTTAGTCAGTAAGAGTCTGACACTCCCTCCCGCCTTCCTCAGGCGGGAGCAGTCATTCATTGATTTTCCCCCTTTAATAAAAAAAAAGGTAAGCATGTCATAGGCGCCTCTCATTTTTTGCGCCACCGTCACTTTATTGTCACGGGCACGCGGAGGGACAGGCGTTCGATTTTTGAACATACTCAATAGAACGCCTTTAATTAAGCATACTGTTTTCGAGCATGTGTTATCTATTGATGTGTGGCCGTCTGTACATAGAACAACCTAAAGGTTGCTGTTTATCCTGGTGTGGCGTCGCATCATCTGTCCGCACATTTAACGTTCAGTTTATACCGGTTTATATTGGTTTATAGACGTCGTGGTGGCCCGGAGGTTTAAGACGCCCGCTTCTCATGTATGAGGGTGCGGGTTCGAAACCTACCAACGGCATGTACCAATGTGACTTTTTCCGAGTTATATGTACTTTCTAAGATTATCTAGACACCACTGACAAACGGTGAAGGAAAAACATTGTGAGGAAACCTGGGCTTATAAGTTCTAATTATAAGTCTGTAATCGCCAACCCGCATTAAGTGATTAATGCTCAAACCTTCTCAGTGTGAGAAGAGGCATTGCGCAGCAGTGGGCATTTATAGGCTGTTGATGATGATGATGATGATTAGGTATACTGGTTATGTAAAGCTCTATGTGTAGCTGTGTGTACAAATCCCTTCAACGATTCTATCATATACAGATGATGTAAATATTTATCTTCTTTGAAGTTTCTCACGGTTCTTACGTCACAGCTATTGTAATGTTTCTAGATACATTTATTCGTTTTTATCATTTCATTTTCAAATTGACCTTGATAGTGCATCTTAACTGATATTTCTTTAAGTAGTAGTTAGGGATGGATGACGATTTATTGATAACTATGTTCGTAGCCTTTGTAGAGTGAGGGGGAGAGGAAAATTGCCAAGAAAAACAGAAATAAACACATAACATCACGCCTTTTATCCCCTAAGGGGTAGGCAGAGGTGCACATTATACCACTGTACAATGTAACACCCACTTTTCACTATTTATGTTATGAGTGCCATGTAATAGGGGTGATCCTATTGCCATATACCGGGCACAATTCCAGACTCCGTGCTACTACTGAGAATTTATAAAACCCAGTAATACTTTGCCCGACCCGGGAATCGAACCCGAGACCCTTTGCCCGGCAGTCGCACTTGCAACCCACTCGGCCAACGAGGCAGTTGACATTTAATCTACTGTTACTAGTCCCTTTGATGGTCGTAGGTTCCTTTCTAGACGATTAGGTATGTATGTCGCGGAGAACCTAACGGGTAACCGGGGCTCCGGCTCGACGTGCAGGAGAAGGAACGGGGTGGTTTTTAGTCAGTAAGAGTCTGACACTCCCTTCCGCCTCACCCATGCGGGAGCAGTCATTCGATGATTTTCCCCCCTTAAAAAAAAAGACTATTAGGTATATTAATATTAATATGATTTATTACCTTGGGTTCCACGGTGTCAGTCCAGCGCGGCTGGCGTGGACCTTCAGACTTGCTGCGGCGCCCAGCGCGATCAGCATCGTTCCTTTGCGCACTCTACACAAACAGAATAACTTAATCAATTAACCATTATTATCAAAATCAATTCGTTAGGGGAGGCCTATGTTCAGCATAAATATATATGTTGACTGTGAGACTTAAGACTTTACTTATTTATTTATTTAAATAGTAAACATAACATCACGCCTTTTATCCCCGAAGGTGTAGGCAGAGGTGCACATTATGCCACTGTACAATGTAACACCCACTTTTCACTATTTATGTTATGAGTCCCATGTAATAGGGGGTGAGCCTATTGCCATATACCGGACAAAATCAATTCCAGACTCCGTCTATTACTGAGAATTTTTTAAAAACCCATGCAGTAATACTTTGCCCGACCCGGGAATCGAACCCGAGACCCCTTGCCCGGCAGTCGCACTTGCGACATCTCGACCAACGAGGCAGTCTTTTAACACGTTAAACGCCATGGGGGTCACCGGTGACCGCCGTTAGCGGAGGATTTATCTTCAACAGTTTTATATTGGCAGTCAAAGTCTTAATTATTCGAATCATTTAAATAGGTACATACCATTTATTTATTTAAATGCTAAGCTTTAAAATTATCATTATCTAAAAGTATTTTTATATCTGAAATAACAACATTAGCTCTATAAAACTGCAGGAACATTTTATTAGTAGTCTCTGTTGACTCTAGAGCTGTGTAGTCTCTGTTTACTTCGAGTCTATGTTGACTATGGCCTTTATTTCGTTCGAGAACAGTCTGTGTTTACATTCAGTTCAAAATTAATCACGTTGCACGTAGCTCCTGAATACACATACTACACACTGTGTGTACTTTGTATTTTTTGTGTAAAACGTTGTACTTTCCTTGATCAAAAATAAATTATTTCGACTGTTCAATAAATTCATGAATTATGGCAATAGTCTCACTCCCTATTACATGGGATTTATAACATAAATAGTGAAAAGTGGGTGTTACATTGTACAGTGGCATTAAGTGCCGTAATGCACACCTCTGCCCACCCCATCGGGGATAAAAGGCGTGATATTAAGTATACATTATGTATTCAATAAATTTACGGTCGTTTCGTGTGAGGCCGTGGTGTCGAAGTCAAAGTCAAAATCATTTATTTCAATTAGACCAGAGAGGCACTTTTGAACGTCAACAAAAAATTAAAAGTTACTAGGTATTTGCTAATTCGAAAGTGTAGATTATATGGAGAAGAATGAGCAAGAAACTCCATAGGTTACTCTTTTTCAATCAGGTTTACAATATAATTGGGTAGGTACTTGCCAATTAGTCATATTCAACACTTTTTTGATCTGTCAAAATCGACAGTTTTCTATGAATTTTGTACGAGTTTGTGTATTGTGACGTCACGTTTTTTGGCGTCAAACAGCGTACTTATTACTTAAAAATTAGCTCGAAAATACTAAAATTAAATTGTTCATAAAATCAATTAAAGAATGTGTGATTATTTTTTGATATTCTATTGTATTGAACAGTCGTAATAATTTATTTTTGATGAATGCAAGTAGGTACTCAATTCTCTAGTTGTATAGTTTTGTTGGTTCGATTCACTCCGGTCGACTAGGTCCATTCGTGCTTAATCACAGTTCTCCTACACTTACAAAATGTCATGTATTTTATTAAATGGAAGCTTACCCTGGCTCTATCGAAGGCCGACGTCTGCTGTGGTCTGATGTCGTCAGCAGGCGCCGGGTCGAACAGCTCGTTCGTCTTGTACGCCACTCCGGGGTACTTCTTGCGACGAGGCATCGCTGGCTCCATTGGCCCTGTTAGTAAAAAGGGTTAATCATTAGGTATGGAATACTATTATTATCTTCGTAAGATAGGTGTTTTCGGCCCGCTTCTCATGCATGAGGGTGCGGGTTCGAAACATACCAACGGCAAGTTCCAATGTGACTTGTTTTCGAGGGATATGTACTTTCTAAGATTATCTAGACACCACTGACAAACTGTGAAGGAAAAAATCGTGAGGAAACCTGGACTTATAATTTCTAATTTTAAGTTTGTAATCGCCAACCCGCATTGCGCAAACGTGGTGATTGATGCTCAAACCTTCTCCGCGTGAGAAGAGGCTTTGCTCAGCAGTGGGTATTTATAGGCAGTATATAAAGTAGGTCATCATCAACAGATGATGACCTACTTTGAATATTTGACAATTCTTCCATAATAAAAACTGTCAAGTATCAATTTTATTCTACAGTTACGAGTTAACTGACTTTTGAAAAAACGACAATCAATTAACAAAACATAGAAACATTCTAATATAAAATCAATTTGTCCTATAGGAGGACAATGAAAAAATTCAAATTTATGCTTCAAATTGAACATGAAGAAGTTGAAATTTCATTTATCACTGTCTTGTATTAATCACATGCTTTAATATGTAATTTATATCTGTCAAATATCCTCACACACACATTTGGCCGACACCCCAGTGTGTTCTAGAAAAAAGAGGTCAATAAAAAAGGACCCCGTTGGGATCGGGACCGGATTTAGATTGACCCCGAAAGAGGTCAAGAAGTTCCTATTCTAGTATAGGGTTTCTAAAATTTGTCTAGTTTTGGGTCAAGCTATTTTATAGACGATATTTTGTAGACGATACAAAGTGGTGAAAGTGAGTGGTAGGAAAATGTTTTCTCTAATTGATTTTTAATATTACAGCACCTTCGATCTGGTTTGATGATGAAATTGGAAGGTCTAACGGAGCCTTGAATTGTCTGCTGTTAAATATATAGAGTTTGCCCTCATTATACTATATAACATAACATAACATCACGCCTTTTATCCCCGAAGGGGTAGGCAGAGGTGCACACAGAAGTAACACCCACTTTTCACTATTTATATTATGAGTCCCATGTAACAGGGGGTGAACCTATTGATATATACCGGGCATATTTCCGGGCCCCGTGCTACTACTGAGATTTTTTAAAAACCCAGTAATAATTTGCCCGAAACGAGAATCGAACCCGAGACCTCTTGCCCGGGGTTCATATATATAGATAAATAAAATTGGATACATATACTAAAATAACACTTTTTGTGTGTCTGTCTGTTTGTACTGGCTAATCTCTGAAATAGCTGGACTGATTTCATTGGTGATGTTCTAAGGAATTACATAGGCTACTTTTATTTTATAATACGCAGATCCAGATGCGGTTTCAGCCAGTTTTAAATATATATATTTTTATGGCATAAGCCGATAAACGAGCAGACGGATCACCTGATGGTAAGCAATCGGCGTCGCCCATGGACACCTGGAACACCAGAGGCGTTACAAGTGCGTTACCGGCCTTTTGGAGATTAGGAGTTTGAGGATCGTTGGGGATTCAGGGATTGGGGAGATTGGGGAAGGGGAGGGTAATTGGGCCTCCGGTAACCTCACTCACACGACGAAACACAACGCAAGCGTTGTGTTTCACGTCGGTTTTGTGTGAGGCCGTGGTAAATTTAATAAATTTTGGTGAAGACTTACCCCTCTGTATGGGCAGTGCGGAGGGGGGCGTGGGTGCTGGCTGCTTCACCACGCCCTGCTGCTGCTGCTGCTCCTTGTATTCGTGCCATTTGTAAGTGCTGCGGTACTCGGAGTGCAGCTGAAACAAACAGATACACAAGTTTAATATAAATAACATAACATCACGCCTTTTATCCCCGAAGTGATAGGCACAGGTGCACATTAAGGCACTTAATGCCACTGTAGAGGTACAATGTAACACCCACTTTTCATTATTTATGTTATGAGTCCCATGTAATAGGGGGTGAGTCTATTGCCATATACCGGGCACATTTCAAGACTCCGTGCTACTACTGAGATTTTTAAAAACTCAGTAATACTTTGCCCGATCCGGAAATCGAACCCGAGACCCCTTGCCCGGCAGTCGCACTTACGACCACTCGGTCAACGAGGCGCCAGTAAGTGTTTAACTTTTTTTTTTCTCTTCTTTTCTGTTATTGTAACTGTTTGATTCTAATAATGTAATTGGTGTAAAGCCGTGTTAACATCACAATAATAAATAAATAAATAAAAGAAAAAAAACATGGTCACTAAAAATGTTAAGGAATACACCTGAGCAAAATTGAGTTGTCCCTATTACCATGTACTTGAGGATTGCAGGCTATTTCAGACACCACAGAACATAATATAAACCTTCCTTATATGTTCTTTCTGTATACGTATAAACCTTCTTTATATGTTCTGTGTTAGAGACAATAACCGAACTGAACACCCCTTGTTCGACAGTAGCACTGGCAGCCACATGACCATAGAAGAAATCAATAAACTACCAACTAATAAAAGATTCGTTCGCAAAACCAACAGTGGGGAAGTTTTTATAAAATGTTTTTCAGTGGAAGCTCTCGATATTGAAGTTTGTAAGCTATCGAGTAAACATATCGCCAGTGGATGGAAGGCATAATGAAGTTTTTCGTGGAAGTGTACCTAGTGTCAGTTTTCCAATGTAAAAGGAAAAATTGTGAAATGAGTAGCTATAGAGATTTTTGATGGCATAAGCCGGTAAACGAGCAGACGGATCACCTGATGGTAAGCAATCGGGGTCGCTCCGACACCTGAAACACCAGAGGCGTTACAAGTTTTTAGGTGTTCAGGGATTGGGGAGATTGAGGAAGGGTGGGACGTAATTGGGCCTCCGGTAACCTCACTCACATGACGAAACACAACACAAGCGTTATTTCACGTCGGTTTTCTGTGAGGCCGTGGTATCACTCCGGTCGAGCCGGCCCATTCGTGCCGAAGCATGGCTCTCTCAGTTTTAAACTTATGTCAAGACTTCTTGTATAGAGCAGTGGTTCCCAAAATTGTCTGGATTTCAATCTATCTAAATCAAGTTCTCAAACTGAGAACCCATCTTCAGGGTACTAAACCCTTACCAATATGAAAAACAAAATTAAGAACGGTTGGTTAGTACATCTTTCTATAGATTATGCCCAAAAAATTTGCTTGAAACCCACCTATTTTTTTTAAGGGGCGAAAATCATCGAATTACTGCTCCCGCCTGGGTGAGGCGGGAGGGAGTCTCAGAATCTTACTGACTAAAAACCACCCCGTTCCTCCTACTGCGGTTCGAGCCGGAGCCCCAGTTACCCGTTAGGTTCTCCGCGACGAAGACATCCAATTACCTACTTCAATAACCAAACAAAGCAAGATTTACGAAAATGAACCTTACTACTACGAAACAAGAATAATAACAAAGGCTGAATAGTTTCTACAGCTAGCATGTTTATCAATATAAGGCTTGTCGACTCAATTTTAAGGTTGAAAATGGTAAGCAAGATAACTGTACATTTTGTGCTGACAATTTTAGTTGAAGTTAAGGATAGTCGTTTCGATATTGATAGTCGATATCCCCGATATCGATACGTCTGCAAACGATGACTTTGTTAAGCGTAGTGATGTGACACGACGAGGTGGGAAAAGTCTTCGAAAGAATCATTTCGAACCGCCTCGTCGCGCACCTGACGGACATTGGGCCGGACTTGTCGGACGGCCAGTTCGGCTTCCGCAGAGGGCGCTCCACGGTGGACGCCATCATGCGCGTTAGAGACCTCACGACGGGGACTGCAGTGTCCAGGGGTAAGGTCGTAGTGGCGGTGTCTCTGGACATCGCCAACGCCTTCAACTCCCTGCCCTGGAGCTGCATCTTGGAGGCACTCCGATATCATCGGGTGCCTACCTACCTCCGTCGTGTAATCGAGGCTTACCTGACGGACAGGTCCGTCAGCTACCCCGGTCACCGGGGCGAGTGGAACCGGCGAGAGATGTCACGCGGTGTTCCACAGGGTTCGGTTCTGGGGCCGCTCCTGTGGAACATCGGCTATGACTGGGTGCTGCGCACCGACCTCCCGAACGGCGTTAGCACAATATGCTACGCCGACGATACGCTGGTGCTAGCGCACGGGAGGTCACACCAGGCGGCGGCCGACTTAATGGCGACAGCGGTTGCGACAGTCGTTGAGAGAATCCGGCAGTTGGGACTCGAGGTGGCGCTCCACAAGTCCGAGGCCATGTGTTTTCATGGCCGCGGGAACGCGCCACCTCCGGGTGGGTCCCAAATAACGGCGGGAGGAGTTACCATCGGCGTCGAGACGACGATGAAGTACCTAGGACTCGTCCTCGACAGTCGGTGGAACTTCATTGAACACTTCCGACGTTTGGCTCCAAAGTTGGCGAGGACGGGGGCTGCGTTTAAACGCATCCTCCCCAACCTCGGGGGGCCAAACGCCTCCTGCCGGAGGTTATACGCCGGGGTCGTGCGGTCCATGGCCCTCTACGGCGCCCCTGTTTGGGCGCCAAACCTGTTGCGGCGTCCCGCTCGGACGCTGCTCATGGCACAGAGGGTCATGGCGATCCGAATGATCCGCGGATACCGCACGATCTCTGGGGAGTCGGCGAACCTCCTTGCCGGATTACCGCCGTGGGATCTGGAGGCGAAGGTGCTCGCGCGCGTGTACAGCATGCGCGCGGAGGCACGTCGCCGGGGCGAAACCCCGCTGCCGCGCCAGATAGGTGCGTGGCGGGATGAGCTCCGGCGCGATCTCATGGCGGAATGGCAGCAACGACTGTCGCAACCGAGGGCTGGGCTCGCTGCCATCGCAGCGGTAAGTCCCCTCTTTGAGGAGTGGCTTGAGAGACGCTACGGCGTCCTCACCTACCGCCTGACGCAGGTCCTCACCGGACATGGAAGTTTCGGGAGGTACCTGTGTCTGATGGGGCGGGAGGAAACGCCCGGGTGTCATCACTGCGAGGACCGCCCTGAGGACACGGTGGAACACACGGTGGGAGAATGCCCTTCGTGGGCTGAGCACCGCCGTGTCCTCAGGGAAGTGATCGGCGATGGCGACCTCTCGCGTCCGGGCCTAGTGCAGGCCATGATGCGGAGCGAGGGGGATTGGGATGCCGTCTCCTCCTTTTGCGAAGCAGTCATGCTAGCTAAGGAGGAGGCGGGACGCGTGAGGCAGCGAAGCGCTGCCTCCTCGCAACCCAGCCATCGCGAAGGACACACCGGGCGTCGGGGATCGCGGGACGATCTCCGGCCACCGTAAGCGCGGGCCTGCGGACGGCGAGCATGGGTGGCTCCCCGTCCGACCAGAAACAGACCCGAGCGTACGGCGCGTCGCGTTCCGCGCGCGCCTCAAAGAGCCATCAGACCACCACAGATGGGGCCCAATAGGGCCGATGCCGATTCGGAGTCGCGGAGAACCTAACGGGTAACCGGGGCTCCGGCTCGACGTGCAGGAGAAGGAACGGGGTGGTTTTTAGTCAGTAAGAGTCTGACACTCCCTCCCGCCTCACCCAGGCGGG